GCAGATAGCTCCTTATTTGGCTTCCTTAACTATGGCAATCCCACATAAGGATAGCAAATAGGGGAGTTATATGATAAACAAAGATCGAAATTAAGAGGTGTCAGCCAGCCCACAACAAGAAATCTGGTTGGCTAATGTGAATTCTATGCAAATGTGTTGTCAGATGCCAGCATGCTGGCATCAGACAGCCAATGGCAGCACATTAACCCATTGCCTAGTGAAAAGTTTAAGTGCTCACCCCCCTCCACCCGCCCCCTTTTTGACTGTGGTATCTTATGTGGCCCCCCTATATATTGTTCCTAGAGTCGCCACTATGTCTGCATGTGTGTCAATGTGTATCTGTGTGTGACTGTGTGTCTGTGTATCGGCATGTGTGTATATGCATCTGCATGTGTGTCAGTGTGTGTGTATATGTGTGTGTATGTGTATATGTGCATACATCTCAAAATCTCGCCAACACTACACACAAATACACTCATGCATTTCAACGTCAACACTACATACAAACCCCACCATTATATTTAACCATACCACTGCATTCAAATACCACAAAACACACAAATGCATACTTGCATTCAAACGCCAACACTACATAAAAACACACCCCTACATTCACTCACACATTCTCCATACAAAAACCCCTTAAGGACGGCGGGTGTGCTATGCCATTCTTAGGGAACCGGCTGTAAACGCCGGGGGGCAGCATAGCACGTCCCCACCGTCCTATGTACTTACCTGGTTGCTGGTGATCCCATGCCGGCGATCGCGGTATTGGGACTTACCTGGGAGCCCAGGGAGTACCCTCTATCCTCTTTGGCCCCCCTGGGCCATGTGATCGCGAGGTCCTTGCAAGGACCTCCCAATCACATGGACGGCATAGCTGTCCATAGCAGTGCCAGCAGGGGGAGTGCTTGTAATGACAGGGACTCCCCCTACTGCCTGTAAAAAAAAATAAAGCAGTTTAAAACAGTGTAAAATTAATTAATATATACTTAGATCATATGTATATTTATTATATATATGATCTAAGTATTTATATATTTACACATATACACACATACACATAAATACACATACACTGTCTAAGTGTATTTTAATATTAATATATATATAATTATATATATATTAATATCAAAGTACACGTACAATGATATTGATTAAATATATATATATATATATATATATATATAATTATGATTTTATATATATGTATATATAATATAAATAAATATGTAAATACGTTAAAAAATAAAATTACAAAAATAATAAAAAATAAATAAATATCTTTGTGTAATTTCGTTCTAACTGTATTTTAAAATTAATATATATTGATATCAAAATACACGTAGAATGAAATAATATATATATCTTTATACATAAGTATATACGTATTTATCACTATATATATATATATATATATATATATATATATATATACACCTATATATAAATAAAAATAATTGAAAAAAATTATATACACATATATATATATATATATACACACACATATATATATATATATATATATATACAAGTGTATATATATATATATACATATATATATATATATATATAATAATTCTACGTATATATTTATGTAATAATTTTACATAATTAGGTCATTTTATTAATTACAATTTACGGGACCTACCTGACAACCCAGGCCAAAAGTCCAGGGAATTTAATTTGCTAGCACTATATTTAACCCTGTAACTTTCCAAGACACTATAAAACCTGTACATGGGGGGTACTGTTTTACTCGGTAGACTTCGCTGAACACAAATATTAGTGTTTCAAAACAGTAAAATGTATTACAATGATGATATCGTCAGTGAAAGTGAAATTTTCTGCATTTTTTCACACACAAATGGCACTTACACGGACGATATAATTGTTGTGATACGTTTTACTGTTTTAAAACACTAATATTTGTGTTCAGCAAAGTCTCCTGAGTATAACAGTACCCCTCATGTACAGGTTTTATGGTGTTTTCAAAAGTTACAGAGTCAAATATAAGGCTTGCGCTTCATATTTTTCACATTGAAATTCGCCAAATTGGTTTTGTTGCCTTTGAGACCGTATGGTAGCCCAGGAATGAGAATTACCCCCATAATGGCACACCATTTGCAAAAGTAGACAACCCAAGGTTTTGCAAATGGGGCATGTCCAGTCTTTTTAGTAGCCACTTAGTCACAAACACTGGCCAAAATTGGTGTTCAAATTAGTTTTTTGCATTTTTCACACACAAACAAATATTAACACTAACTTTGACCAGTGTTTGTGACCAAGTGGCTACTAAAAAAGACTGGACATACCCCATTTGCAATACCTGGGGTTGTCTTCGTTTGCAAATGGTAGGCCAAAATGGGGGTAATTCTCATTCCTGGGCTACCATACGGTCTCAAAGGCAACGTAACCATTCTGGAGAATTTCAATGTAAAAAAAATGAAAAATTTAACATGCTATATTTGACCCTGTAACTTCCCAAAATGCCATAAAACCTGTACATAGGGGGTACTGTTTTACATGTGAGACATCGCTAAATACAAATATGTGTATTTTAATGCAGTAAAAGCAAACAGTATTATGACATTCACAGTTAGAATGTCACGTAGAACTAAGAATTTTTTTTTAATTCTTATTTTCTCCAATTTTAAATATTTTATTCATATTACATTATGTTTTATACCTAAATATTTGATGTTAAATGAAAGCCCTGTTTCCCCTGAATAAAATGATATATAATAAGTGTGGG